TATATATATATATATATATATATATATGTAAATAATATATGTATATAACACATTATTGTCAAGATGTAAACTGAGAAGATGTAATACTTAAAAATAGAGTGAATCAGAAAGGAAACAAATATTGTAATTAGATTTTTTATTATTTATTAAACTTGCCATAAATAAATCATATAAATTTGCCATCATTTAATCAACTATAACATTTTCAGAAAACTTATCTAATATCACATTTAAAAATAGTTACTATTTCCGCCATTTATATTCTCTTTATCAGCTTCATTATTTGAATTGTATCTGATTTGTAATTTCTATTAATTTCTATTAAAGAACGTTTTTTTTCCTTTGATGTGTACTCTGGCGAAAATAAGGCATAAATAAAGAGTTAAGCGTAAGCCGAATGTAACAAAAAAAGAAAGAGTGACAGAAGTGTAAACAAATCTTTTAGGAAGCATAGATTGGAACAATGGAATGTAAAAGAAGCATTAAAATGCTTCGTAAATGTTTTACATTTCTTTTATGTTTCGCTGTTCCAATTTACGCTCTCTAGAAGCTTTGTTTACATTTCTGTCACTCTTCTTTTACATTCGACTTACATTCAACTCTTTATTTCCGCTTTATTTTCGCCAGGATAGACTCCTATATTAGACTCATTTAATGACTCATATTCTTCGATGAATTGCAGCTCATCACTTGGACGTCTTCAAGCGGACTTAGCTCTCAAAGCTGGTTTACCTCTTATGCTCCTGTTTTGAGATACAGACATTGAAAGAGAAATTTTTTTAATGAAAGTATATATTTCAAATAAATTAATAAATTGTTGCAACTTACAATTATTAGTAATTGTCTTCCTTATTGCCGTTGATGTATTTATCTTCTTTATATGGATAGGAATATCTATTCCTAAGTTTGTACCTCTTTATTTTGCAAAATATTAAGGTTATATTTACAGTCGTGAAATTGTAGTTCAGTGTAGTTTTTGGAATATTTTGATGTGAATAAGTCTTCACTACTTCTAGTTATGTCACTAATAATTTCTTTAGCTGCGTGATCTCAGTGAAAATGACACGGTGAAACCGTGAGATGACTACCGGTAAAAATCTAAAAGTGAACTATGTGAAAAAAACTCACTGAAAAATACGTAATCGATGCCCAGGAATAAAAACAAACCTAAGGTTTGTTTTATATTCCTGAACTAGTGAAAGAAGTGTACACTAAAACGTTTTTTATTGCAGAACTGGTGTCAACAATATTGTTCTTTATTGCAATGCAGTGGAACTCAGTGCAACAGTTCACTGAACTGGCTACACTGGGTTTGAAGTCAATGCAAGCAGTGCAAGGTGTTGCGAGGAGGTTGGTGCGGAGCGTTGTCCACGTGCTGAATTGATGGCGAAAAAAGATGTTGGCTGCGGTGAGATTCGAATCTCCACAAGTGTCCGAAGTAGACACGCTACCACTGCGCTATCCGGGCCATGGCTCTTTTCGTGGATGCTTTGCTAGATATTAGTTGTGTGAGCGGCAGACCGCCACAAGAGCAAATGAAATTCAATCAGTAGTGGTAATTTTGAAGAGAGGGATCCTAACGCTTGGCCAATTAAATATAAAATTTTCTAATTGGTGGTCCATTTGAAAATTCCTAAGCAGCGACTGATGTGTGCGGATGTGTGCTATCGCACTGTGCGCTAACGGAACCCATCGAATGAATACCGAATGAAGACCCATTTTGAATACCATAAGATATAAATCAATAAGTATGAAAGTAGAAGTTTTCTTAGAGTATAAATTTCAGTATCTCATTTAATATTGTTTATATATTTTAATACATAGTACCTGAAATATATAAGTTAAAATTATTGGCATTCACTGTTTAGAAAACAGTATTCATTAAATATTAAATTTACAGAAAATTTGTAGATTAGAAAGTCGGACGCTAATGCATAATAATTAATAATATTATATATTTATTTTTATATAAAATATTATAATAAGTACTATAAATATTACATATTTATTTTTGAATTTATACTTACTGTTTAATGTATAAATGCTTGAAATTTTTTTGAAATTATACCCACATAACACAAATGACTATTTGTCGACTAATTGTCAACTTTTTTTAGTCGACTTCAAGTCGACTTGTAAAGTCGACATTTAGTCGAAACAAAACTATAAAAGTTAGTCTAGTCGCCATAACCATATAAAAAATGTCGATTTATAGTTGTCATAAAGTCGACGTTAAGTCGACTGATATGGCTGATTTGTAAACCGACTATAGTTGGAGCATTTGTCGACTATTAGTTGGCTATAAGTTGACATTTAGTCGAAAGACTAAAGACTTTAGTTAAACTAAATGTCAACTTTAAAGACTTTAGATTTCTTTTGCCGATTTATAGTCGACTAATAGTCGACTTTGTGCTGTTTGGGTACTTTTGTATTACAAAGATTTTATATTATATTAAAATTTGATTTATGTGTATAAAGGAAATAACCAGAGGAAGAAAAAGTAGAAATGGCAATAAAGAAATAGCAATTATAAAAAAAGACAGCGCAGGAAGCATTTTCGTAAATGAAAACAGACACGTTATATGTATCTTCAAAGATATTAAGATTGCCCATCCAAATTTAATAGTCATAACTAATTTTTAAAATCTTTAATTGAAAATATAGTCATAATTTCATAGATATAAAATAGATATAAATCATAGATATAAATCTATACAGCTATTTTAATTTATATTTTACGAATTTTTATTGTACAATTTAGCATATGAAAAACATATTGTCATCATTTTAAATTCATAGTTAGTAAATCTGAAATTATTAATTAATATAACTATTGATTTGATGATAAAACCTTATTAATAATTTTTCTATCAAAGTTTTATAAAATACAATAAAGATCTAATTTAACAAATGAATAATAACATGATCTAATAATTTAAGATGTAATAATTATATGAAGTATGAATATATATCAAATCATTTTTTTCAAATATAGATAGATGAGAAATATATTTTTGTAATTTTTACAATGGATGTAATATTTGTAATTTGTGTTCTAAAAAGTCAATTTAAATCTTGCATGTTATAATATTATTAATAATATTAAGTTTGTACATAATAATATATATGATTTGAATTTTTTATTATCATTATCTTCAACTAAAATTGCTTCTAATGGTGGAAGTGCAATTACAGGTTTATCGTTATCAGAAGAATATAATAATTCCCTAAGAACCACGTACGTATATATATATATATATATATATATACGTACACTACCACATAGAACATAACTAACCTACCAGTGGACGTCCACTGAATCTTCATGGCTTCGTTAAACTTCCATCGAACGTTTATCTCCACGATGGAAGTCAGATAGACATTAGTCGTCCAGCGAATCTCCACGGTGGATGGTGCTTTAGGATTACTTATAAGCTCAGAACTTTTTTGAATAAAGATTGAATTTTACAAAAAAAGCTCAGAACTTTTTTGTACACCTAATATTTCCTTTAATATTAACGATTTTAAATTTATTATTATTTATTTATTTACCTTTTTTATTTATCTTTTTTTTGCTATTTATCTTTTTCAACACAAGAGCAAAAATTAACATAATATTATTATACTACTGTTATACTATAATATTTTTAACTTTTTGATAGACAATTGTCAAAACGATCCTCTGTGAAATCAATACAATGACAACTATTCACAAAGTTAGCGCAGCGAGAATCCTTCACGGTAAAGCGTCAACAATAAACTTTAAGAAAATTTCGAGAGATGCAAGTACCGATGTCATGCCTTTTTTTAGAAAGGATTATTATATATATTTATTATTATTATAAACAAATTTTATTATAATATAAAATAAAATTTAAGTAAAAAATGAACATCCACTCATTTTTTTATATTGATTTATCACAATTAATTAATTTCCCAAACAAACACCAAATATAAATGTTACATAACATAGAAGTAATATATTATATAATATCTGTTACACTCTAATTACGTTTAGTTATATAACCTAGTATTATACATACAATATAACTGAAGTATGTAACTATTATGTTATTCTGTTATTTATATGTATAATAAACGAACAACAATATAATTACAATGTCATGTTATTATATAACAACTGTTATATTGATATTATATAATTGATATTATATAATTTCGCGCTTCTTTTCACTGCGCCGCGCCAGCATCACCGCAGGAGTAGTGCTTCCAGTTCATCACGGCCATCTTAATTCTCATTTGTTGCCCGTTGCTGGTGCCGGTTGTGTGTAGTGCGCGTTCTGAAACGTCATTGCTAATGTCGTGATTTTTCAGTATTCTCGGCTTGGTCTCATGCCGCGTGTCAATTTGTTTAGAGAGTCGCCTCCAAACTTGTCCACAAGTACTTTGTCACAGCCATGTGCTTTGCATGTGTTCCAGATGCCTCGCCATAGTAAACATTATGAACAATCTAATGAATTTTATTTATTTCCTTATCCATGCGCGCAAATATCCTTTTCACATACAAATCCCAGGAAGATCCTTGAATTAATTTAAAGCAAAATTAAAAGGTTTCATAAGATATGAATTTTAAAATCTTTTCTTAGTTTGCTTTAAATTAATTCAAGTAATCTTTTTCTGGACTTTGTATGTATAAAATTAATTTTAGATTTGTAAGTAATGTTACATTGTAGCTAATGTAACTAAGTAACAAGGTTATGTTGATGTATATAACGTATTGCTGGGGTATATGATTATATTTCGCAATTTTAGTATCTCTATTATTTAATAATATATTATCCCGCTTTCCACATGTTTAATACACATGCACAATACACTTAAATCAATGCACATGCAAAGTAAAAAATATCGCTATTGGTTAGAGTGAGATGGTGTATATTTCTTTCACTCTAGCCAAAACACGTTATTAGTTAAAGTGAGATAGTGTATATTTCTTTCTTTCTCGTAACATTTAATGAAAAATAGCGGATCAGAGTTTCTGATTAGCGAATCAGAGTCGTGGCCAGTCTCTTATTATAGTATCTCTAACTTATACTATCTCTATGATGGAGCTCTAATGGAGCTCTATCAAATCTCCATTAAGGTCGTATCAGACTAGCGATTGCCCGGTTACGATTGCTAGTTGACGATTCTACTATCACCAATCACATTTGACCGTAACCAGGACTTGCTACATTGTGATGGGTTAAAATAGAATCATCAACTGTAGCTGCCAATTGCTAATCTGATATGGTCTTTAGACGTCTTAAGGCCATATCAGACTAGCGGTTGCACGGCTACGGTTGCCGATTGATGAATTCTATTTCAACCAATCACGATTCTATTTCAATCTATTACAGTCAATCAATGTAGCAGATCTTGGTTATGATCAATGTGATTGGTAATAGTAGCCGGGCAACCGCTAATCTGATATGGCCTTGTAGCGGATTTATTGCTCTGCCAGTAAGGCTATGCTGATACTGCCCTGCCGAGGAAGGCAGGCTCGAGTCTCTGAAAGATCTGATAGGCAGAAGTAGGCAGAATAACTAAGTTCACGCCACGATTTTGTTATCCGACCGTCGCCAGCAACATCTCACGAAGTTCTGACTCGGTCACGTTTATTCTTGAACCACAATCGTTAAATCTAGAACGTATCAAAGTCGCAGGGTTAACAGAACAAAGACGCGATATTTACAACGCTTAAAAACTAATAACACAGAACAAAGAAATCGAAGACGTACAATGCCAGCAGGGGCACCGCGAACACGAGAACAGCGCGTGACAATGTTATTTTCACGTAACGTACAATGCCAGCAAGGGCACCGCGGACACGAGAGACACGGAGGAACGTTCGAGATCTAAATACCAGAAACGAGAAAACGCAAAGAATGAAGAAAAGAAAGAACGCACTTAAAATGTATATCGTTCGCAAAAGAAAGGCGGAGCGCCTGAAACGCATGCTGCGTGTGCACGCAAGACGCTCGCGAAACGCTCGGAAAACGCGGACTAGAAAGAGACGCGACGGAAAACGAGACGACACACGGGTGCTAGCAAAACGCGGAACGCGGGCGCGGGTAAAACGGAGCGCACGCGGAAATTGATGACGGCACAATTGTAAGCGCGAATAAAAACGACGGAACTAGGCGATGCGGGAAAAATGCAGGACGCGGATGAGACGCATGCGAAAACACGAGTAAAGACGTCACTCGCGAGCGAGAGAGAAACACTCGGTTAATCGCTC